TTAAAAATTGAATTAAATAAGATAAATAAGTCTTTCGAATTTTCTCTTTTTGTTATTGATTTTAAAAGGATGGCAGTGGAAAAATGGCAATTATTTTTAAAATTTTTATTTTCGAAGTATTGTCAAAATTTGATTTTAATTTTCGGTTTGTTTTTTTTTTTTTTCATCAGTTTTTTCAATGATATGTAATACATTTTTAATTGGAATTATTTAAACAAATGATCGAACAATCGATTGAATAGGAATACAGTAATCAGTGATATAAAAAAAAAATGAAAAAAACTCATTCAATCAGTAGCAAAAATTAGAAATGTAAAATTGTGAATCAAAAAAAAAACAAATTCAAATTTCAAAAATTTTTAAGATTAATCTATAAAAGAAGAGAAGTGCATTTTAGAAAGAAGCGAAAACGGCACAATATTCATTACAATCAATTAAATCAAAAATCAAAATTAAATTTAAATTATGAATTTAAATGCATAATAATGCTAAAGTTTTATTACAAAAGAGTTTTTTTTTATTTCCTTTTTCTTCACATTTTAAACCAAAATTAGCATGAATTTAACAGAATATAATATTGCATTGCCTAATTAAGCAAACATTTTTATTGTTAATTAATGTGATAATTGTCTGCTTATTGCTCGTTTAACTTCTGGAGTCCGTTTTGGATGGAAATGTTTACGTCGTGTGTGACATTGACATATTTTACAATATGATGTTTTATGAATGATCTGAAAATTAATTACATTCATTTGATAATTTTACTTTATTTTATTCACTTATTTAATTACACTTTTTTTTAAAAAAAAAAAGTAAATTTTGATTACATTTTAGAAAAGAAATCAAGAAAAAATTAATTTAATATGAAAACTTACATTTGAATCAGATAAAAAAGTATTAGGTCTTTGTTTTCTTCCACTGAATTTATTTCTTTTATCAATTCGTCGAATTTCTTTCAACAATTCTTGTATTTGCTATACCAATGAAAAACAATACGAATTCAATTATTTTATAGGATTAAATTGAATCGAAATATTTTCAAAATACCATAATTAATAAGATTTAATTTAAATATTTCCAGAAATTCTATAAACTAACATGATTTGATTCATTTCTCTTTTTTTTTTTTACAGAAAAATTTTTTTTTTCATAGAAATTTTTTTTACAGAAAATTTTTTTTTACAGAAATTTTTTACAGAAATATAATTAAATATATGGCTTAGTTTTATGTTCTAAAAATGCTAATACGATTTAATTGGGATTTTTGAACCATTACAATTATTAGTTAATTTATTAAATCAAATACCGAAATACTTGATTATTAACTAACCACTAAATACAATGGATTATTGTTAATGATGGAAGAAGTGGAAATATTCATTTCATTTTTAGCTGCCGAAATTTTCCTTGATTTCGCATCACTTTCCCATAATTTAACCAATTCGATGATTTTATTTTCCAACTTTAATATTTCCATATATTCAATTTCTTCCAAACCTTCCTTCATCACATTCATATCCTATCGAAATACAAAAAAAAAAAAGATTATCATCTCTTATCATTTATACTATCACAATCTTTTTAGGGCTAAAATTATCATCCATTTCTATTCTTCCTATTATTTTGATTTATACTATATATGTATAATATTTATAATATAATGTAATTAATTTGAATAGAGTTTTTAAAAAAATGATAAAAAAAACGGTCGCTTTTTTTAAATTATCAAATATTTATGAAATTGTAAAAAAGAAAAAAGATTTAAATGACAAAATGATTACCCAAATATGTTCTGATGAAGAATTATTGCTAGAAGTTGATGTTAAATTTGTTGAAATTGATGAGGAAGTAGATGATGATGACGAAGAAGAAGAAGAAGAAGAAGGAAAATCCATTTGAATGAACCGTATGATACGAATGTTTTTACCAAAAATGCTATCCATTACGTTGAGTCTATGGATATGTGAGGTCAAATCAATAAATATATGAGGTCAAATCAATAAATATGTGAGGTCAAATTGATGACCGCCACAAGAAAGAGAGAAAAATAAAAAACATGTTATGCTCATATACATATAGCCACTATTCGTCTCCTCACTCATCTAAATGCTAAAAGAGGAATTATTGATAAATAACCAATCCTAAAATTGTCAACCTCATTTTGAGAATTTGTCATCTATCATAATTATTGCTACATATTTTTTCTTTTCTTCTTGATTACCAGTAATTTCAAAATTAGAATAACTGTTAGAAATTGTAATCATTGAAAATAATTAAATAATCAAATTATGCTTAAGATAAAAAAAAAGAGAAAAAATTAATTAGCTTGCTTTTTTTTTTTTGCTAATGAATAAAATTTTCGACGAAAAAATAACGCATTTTTTGATAAATGAAGAAAAAAAGAATTAATTTTACACTGAAATTATCATATACAAAAAGTAATTTCAAACTACCAAATACACAGACACATACAATTTATTATGTAATCAGGTTTTAAGTTAAAATTGAAAATTTGAAATTTGAAGTTTGAAATTTGCAACAATTCATGAATATCACCCTGCTGTAATATGTAAATTTTACACTGAAACTATCATATATTAGATTTTCATAAGCCTAAAATCTAATTAATTTTATATCTTTAATTTAATTAATTTCAACTCATAAGTCTCTTTATTTGAAGAAAAAAAGCTATGCAACTTTTTGATTATTGTCCAAGATGCAAAATAATTTTTCCGCTTGCCAAAATTTACCATTTTCTATTGTCAATTTCAAATTTGAAGTTTATATTTTGCAAACATATAAAATATCTGTAAAAATATGAATTGGAATTGATAGTATATTTATCAATTAAAAAAAAAAAAGTAATAAGCTAATTAAAAGCAAATGATTAAAGGTGTTGATTCTAATAATTATAGGAAAAAAAAAACTGTGAATGAAAGGTGCAAGTGAAATTAAAATGGATTTTAAAATTTATCAATTTAGGATAACGTGGTGTAAAGTTCATAAGAAAAAAAAAAGTTTTAGTGAATATGTTGAATGAGAAAAGCGCATAAAATAATATTTCCTTATGATTATTTGCGCCCCAAAATGCCCACAACATAAAATATACAATTTCCATTCGTTAATTAAATCAAAACCAGAATTTAAGTAATTTACAATAATATTCGAACTAAAGAAATGAACTTTAGTTTTAAACTTAATTTTATCTAAGGCAAATAAAATTTTGGGAGAATAGTCGAGTGATAAATAAGGTTAGAATAATTTAATCTTTCATATTTAAATGTTCTGTATTAAATTTTACACTAATAATTTTGTACTAATAAGTACTAATATCAATGTTAATTGATTATTGATTAATTTTTTGATTATTAATGACAAAATATGTATAGGTATAAATGAATAGATAAGTATGAAAGTTTAAATATGAAGGTAAATATGAAGAAGATTCGAATACGAATTCTAATCTTTGTAATGCGAAAATGATAAAAAGAATATAAAATTTTCATGCATTACAATAAATATATTATCTTAATTGATAAGCTATTTAATGTCCAGTTTACTTTTATCATTGCAATCATTTTATTGGCCAAATATCTCAATGCACTTAGCCAAGCATTCCATTAAATTACTTTAATAGCCAATAGCATAATTATCTCATTAGTTCTCTTAGCTAATCATTCCATTAAATTATTTTATTAGTTATATATTTCATTACAATTACCTTATTAGTTATGCATTTCACTATAATTCTCGAGAAAATCAAAACGATTGTATTGTAAAATTGTTCGGCCTTAAGCCAAATAGTTCAATGTTAACATTTTATCATGATTTTATTATCACGAATCGAAACAATGTTAACATTTTATCATGATTTTATTATCATGAATCGAAACAATGTTAGTATTTTATCATGATTTTATTATCATGAATCGAAACAATGCTAACATTTTATTACTTTTTCTGGTCAAATCATACCATCTTTCCTTGGCCGGAATTGATTATCGATGTCTGATAACCTTCCACATCTCAACTTAATTTAAACTTATTGAACACTTACTTTTGCTTTTGAACAAAGTTTGTATTAATTGTACTGTTGTTACCGATTACTATAATCATCACAGTCACCGTTTATTACGAATTCTTTTTCTTCTTAGGATTCAAAATCATCCTTATATCTTTTCAAATATTCTATCCGCTCAGCAATTTGGAGAGTTTTTTTTTTTTTTTTTACTCTGATAAATACTTTCTTAGTTAACCATTCCATTAGATTACTTTATTAGCTATGTATTTCATTATAATTACCTTGTTAGCTAAGCATTTCATTACAATTACTTTATCAGTTAAGCATTTTATTACAGTAACATTGTTTATCATTCAAATATTTTAATGAAATTAAAATTCGAAATAATTTGAAATGGAATTTTATCAAAAAACAAAAAAAATAACATATTAGGAAAGCATATTAGTAATTTTTCAATAAAATTTATTAGAAAGCGAACATGTTACATAATCAACTTCGATGAGTGCATGAAAAAGAATGAAAAAAGAGTAATCGTTACTGTATTCATGCAGAACTGTCTACTGTATCTATATATACATATATGTATATCGTACCATCATCGCTTTATTTTGTATTTATAGTTATACTATACTATATATGAAAGTGTTACATATCGTACCACCATTGTTTCATTCTGTATTTACGGTTTACAAATACATCATATATGCAAACGTCACACATTTATTTTGTACTATCATTTTTTGATTCTATATTTATGGTTACAGTACATTATATGTGCAGGTACTATATATATCGTATTACCGATTATTGATTCTAAACTGGTCTTTACAATAAACTATAGACAGGTGTGCATACGGTTAGCATTTGAGGTGTAAATATTAAGAATACTACAATATACTATTTAATCAGTATGCTGCAAGTTTATCATGAAAAAAAAAAAATTCGAGAAACGGTATGACAATCTTAAATATTAATAGCAATTAATCTAATATCAAAATATTTGATGATATTCATTTCAAATTATAAATCATTATCCTTGAGTACTTGATCAATAATGACCTGTATACCATTCCATGTTTCACTTGCTATTGGTAATAACTCATGAGGTTTTACTTGAAAAGCAAACCATGCTGAAAATTTCTCATTTACTTATTCATTTTTATTTTTAAGAAAAAAAATTTTTTAATATGAAAATTTTGAAATTATTATCAAATCATTTAACATATAATTTTTCTATAGCAACAGAAAATTTAATTTAATTTGAAAAAAAAAAGAAAACATTTTATTTCTTCATTAGCATAAATTAAAAATTTAAAGAGCAAAGATTACATTTATTAAAAATTTTATCAAAGCTAATTACAACATTTATTACTGTTTTAACAAGTATTAAACGTTATTTTTTTTTTAAATTTAACCAATTTTTTTGGGATAAAACTTCC